TTTGTAATTTTGTATTAAAAATATATTAAATCTTCTTGAAGTTGGTGGGTCAATTTACACATTTATACGAACAGCTTGGGCCTCTAATACTTTCAAATATATAAAATAACTAAAACAAACTACAAACGTATCAGTATATTTTATGCTTTATGTCAGCACTTGTCTTGTTAACTTCAGCTGACCCAAATTAGAACCATACAGGCTTTTATAGTGGCTCTTACATGTAAATGCATGTTTACATATTATTATTTCAGCATGATTTTTCATGAATATTCAAAACAAAAAAAAAAATCTCAAAAATTGAAATAATTTATTGTTGAATACAAAAATAACCAAGGAAGAAAATCGTTATGAATGAATATTTTAAATTATAGACATTTGTTTTATTATTCATAACTTTGATTATTTTATACTTTAATTTAGTATTTTAGTGTTAAAAAATGATAATTGTTATATTTGCAAAAATTATGATTTTTTTTAAGGGATATGAAAAGTTGAGTTAAAATTGAAAGATTCTGCGTGTTAAAGGATAAGAACCACCTTTTAGATACCTACCAATTACTCTATTAGTTCAACAAACAATTTTTGTGGCAGTAAATGGTTATAAATTATAGTTCATTATAGTTCCACGACTTTCTTAATAAATAAAAACTAAGTTTTTTTACTAATAATAAATTACAATTATAGTTTAAAACCAATTATTAATCACTAGGTACAAATTATCGTGACAAAAAATAGGGAAATGTTTTCCTACTAATGAGTATATTAAACAAAAAAAAAAAAAACTATTAACCATAATTACTTGAAATTTTAACAAATGTTAATTTTATCATTTTCTATTCAAAAATTTTAAATATATTTAAACTTTATCGATGCTATTTATACAAACACTTTAAATTTTAAATTTTTTAGTTTTTTGTTCTATACATTTCATTTAAATTGTATTATTTGGATCAAAAAGGTTTAAAAATTAGTACAATAGAATGTTTAGAATGCTTATAAGTGATTATAATAGCAGTTGATGAATATTAATGGTCCGAGGACACGGTTTTTTTTATAAGTATTTAAACTTCAAATTTTGACAACATTTGTCAAAATCTTGAAAATGTACAAAAAAATATTTTATCGTTAATAAATTATAATATAAACACCTAATGTATAGCAAAGCGTTACCAACTTAATAGTTTATTTTTATTTTTGTGGTATTTCTGAAAAGTTAATTCCATAGCTTAACCGTGAGCGATAACCATTATTAAAGTTGATATAATTAGAGGTATATATTATTATGTTGACAGATGGATAAACAAATTTACTCCACCAAAATTTTGCTTTTATCTGATATTTATAGGTTGAAATGGCAAATGATGCATAAATTATCAGTACATTTAAAGTATTGCTCGAGTGCCAAATACTTAGAAATATTTAAGCTCGAAAGTAAGCCTAAGTGTTTAATAACATAATTATTGCATATTTTACCAAACAATCGAAATAAAAATACTTAGATTAAAAACCAGTTAAGAACTTTGTATTTGGTAGTTTAGTATTTTGAAGGTGGATACTCAAGGTCCAATTGTAAATTTGTAATAKCATATTAAATAGACAATAAAGTGGCTTTCATTTATCTTTATATACTTAATAAATTATGCAATTAAAGTTTTTGATAGTCAAAAATCAGAGTTTAAACCAATTAATTATTTAAGAAAAATATGGGGTTGAACATATACTATTAGGGTGAATCACTCTATATATTATACTATTATTAGTATTATTACTATTTTATATCTGATTAGTTATTTATTTTTTTAATATATCGCGTTATAAAAAATGATAATTTTCCTGAAATTATTTAAGTTACTGATTTAATATTATCATGGGTATCTTATTAATTTCAATTATTGTTCATACACAGATAAATATCTGCGATGAAAGTGGGCCGAAGATATTTTGAACTCATGGTTTCTGTGATCAATCCATCGTCGGATCTATACCATCACAGTCCTTTAGCGCCTTTAGCGTCATTCGACTCACCTGGTTCTGGGATCGAATCGACCAGTACACAATCGGAAAAGAATTKCCCGTTCAAAGACTTCATACTAAATGATGTTTGTATTAATATAACTAACCCTAATAATTTCAAGAAATATGTGTGTTAATTATTTTTTTGTTATTTCTTTTTACAGAAATGGAGACGTTTATTTGATAAAGTAAGTGCGTCATGGGCGATGACGAATCACGGACAAAATCCGTAATATTATAGTAAAGTTTATGTTTTTCTTCTTCGCGTATTATTTTTGTAGTACGATCCTGAAGGTTTTGGCGAAATTCCGTGGAATGATTTCTTGATGTTATTAAATTCGTCGGATTTCGTGAAATCTATATCACAGGAGAAACGCGATATCCTCCTTGAACGAGCTCGCCAATCAAACACGTCTGCGATAACTTTTCAAGATTTCGTCAACATCGTAAGTCTTTTATAAAACGCTATTATAGTAATTTATTATATAGTATAAGATTATATTAGAAACCAGTTGGTTATAATAATATATGTATATCCAAACGAAACATTTTTGAAAAAAATCGTTAATCATATTATAGTTATGTCGGAAATCACCGATTTACCTATATTTAATATATTATATACATAGATATATATATAGAGGACAACTGTCTTAATTGTTAGTACTTATTTACTTCGTGTTGTGGATTATGAAATAATAATAATTTGATACACCTCTATTAAAGGTTTGAACACGCATAATTTGGCGGTTTAAAAACACATATTTTATAGCCCGCAGTGGTGTGAAAGAGTAGCGTGTCCGTCTGGGGTGCGGTAAGCGAGGCAAGTTTCCGATAAAAAAAAAAAACATCACACGTCAGACCCGTCCAGGTCGTGCACTACGACAAAGGCTCGTAGGCTAACTATATATACCTATTATATTAGATACGCCTGTTATAATATATTATGTTTTTCATTAATTTTTAGAATATATACGCGTCCTCCTCGGCTCCTCGTATATATTATATCGTGTCAAGATGTTGTGACTTTATGACGTGTCCGCCGCCGCCACTCTGCCTGCTCCGTTGCCGTTGCGTACCTATATTAATAATAATATATATATATATATATAATAATAATAATAAATAATAATAATATAATATGGTACATTCAATTAGGAAGATCTCCTACCGCAGTGGCGGCGGAAACCCAACAACGATAATCACCACTGGTACCGCCCGCGTAATGAATGTGATTCGTCTGACCACCAAAGAGACCGCCGCCGCCACCGTGTCGTGTTTATAATAACCTCTGTGCGTCTGTGTCGGTGTGTATTTTATCGGTGTGTGAGCGTATATATACAGATGTGTTGGCGTACAATATCATGTGAGAAACATCGGAGACGTTATAATAATATAATCGGCGTATACATCCGATTTAGATTGTAATATTTTATATTATTATTATAGGCGGCGGTAGGTTCGAACTGTAATAGACAATAATAACGTGTATCCAAGTCAAAAAWTTTTAAATACATATACATTAATACAATATGTCATAATCGTATCGTTATTGCAGGGCCGCTGCCACCCCATCTCTTTTACGGCCCTTCATCGCGTTTATGGAATTTCTATCGAGGATAAATACACCGTCATATTGTATTATATTTTAATATATACGCGCGTACGGAATGTATAAACGTGAGAAAATATTTGAAACGACAAAACAGTTCTCGGAGATTAAAAAAAAACATATTTATTTTTACAATTCAATTATAAAATACAATAAGCTTGTATATAAGTGTGTATACTTTTTAATGCGATTTAAATTTACTTTTGATGACTTGATGTCATGAAATAAGTTGTATAGTTTTGCAAATCTACGTATTATATAATTTATTACTTCCTAGGTACTTGATTGGTATAGGTAGTATATCTGAATGTTTAATGGTCAGAATAGCTGATAWAATCGATATTTATTAAATGGTCGCAGTTATTTTTGCATTTTCAATATATTTATTCATTGTCGTAATGAGTTATGTTTGTGAAAAATTTCTGATTTTTTTACTAAAATATAAATATTTCAAATAAAATTATTCTTTATTGAATCATACAGGTATACCGACTCAAATTGCATATTAATGGGGGAGGGTGAATAACTACCCCCAAGACGCTTTTTATTCTCATGCAACAATATTTGGATATTCAGCATAATATTTAAGATATAAAATATCAACTTATAGGGTGTTAACAATAACTATTTTAAGGTGAGATTTTTAATATATTCCCCCCCTTCCCCCAGAAAAAAATGGTTCACAGGGAAATCACATTTAAGCYATTGTAAAGACTGATAAACAATATTATTTTATGAAACAAAAGGATAGAGGGAAAATAGATAATTGCTCTGCTGTACAGTACCTATAGGTATATCGATACAACTGTACTTTGCCAATCATCATTGAAAATTAAGTCATTATAATGTTATTGTTAAATTTGAATGCTATGATACGTTTATTTAATTAATTGATATACAATATCAAATGTTAAAACAAATATTGCTCTGTTCAGAATCTAAAATTATAATTTAAAAAAGTTTGGACTATATCAATACATTTTTTGAGTTTGAACATAATATCATAATTGAGTGCGTGTGTTCAGACCACTTTGTAAGTTGTTTTYACACAATCATCGTCCATATAAATTATATTATTACGTGTGGTATCCTTTTTTTWTATAATGCATGTGACTTAGTAATCTATAATAACATATATTCTTCAACCTCAACGTATGTTTAGTTTGATAGAGAGCTCTGAACTCATGTTATTTGTAAGTTTTAACATTTAAGTGTATAGTATTATAAGTACCTAATAGATACCCATAATATATTATTTTTGTTCGCAAACAAAAAAACAGGTCATTGTTTTCTATTCAATTTTTATTATAAGTTTTATGAAAAACTCCTACGATTAATTATTGTTTTACAGTCTTCTTGACTTCATTTTGGTTGTTAAAATTAAAACACGTAATACGTATTCCTCCTTTTCAATAATAAGAGAAGTTACAAAATAAATAATTTTGTGGGTAATATTATATCATGCGGAGAGTAAAATATTTACTAGAGGTTGAGAATCGCCTACGATTTATGATTAAAATARGTACTATAAACATTTTTATGACTGTAATTTTTTTTTTTTTTTTTATGAATATCAGAAATCTTTCAATGTTTATTTTGTTTCTTTCTAAATTACGTATATTTATTATTATTCTTGTATTTGACTGAATTGTGCATGTAATTTATTTTATGATAACCTAAGTTAATGTGTTCTTATTAATAAAATAATAGGTACACTATTATATTTTTTCATAAACTACCGCAAAACTTTGTTGTTTCAACACTGCATAGACATTTTGAAATACTTTTATTAATTAATAAAATGTCAAAAGGTAAAATTCGATAATTTTCTTATCCCTTATAATATATACTATATTTATTTTAAATAATATACTAATATACTAAAAAAAAAGGTATGATTTCACGATTTTGTAATATTAAATAATTACGGACGATTATCACCATAGAAACKAATAAAATTAAATAAAAGAGATTCCCTCGTCCGCTCAGAATCGTTTTTTATCGAATGCAATCATTGCATTCAAATCGAATACAGTAAAATTACACTCTCTGAGGACCAAAGGGACGATGGGCAAACATCCACCACCGAAATGTTTACCTACCTACTTATTTTTTATATCAAATTTGACAGCAGTCTCTAAAAAAAATATACTTAGATACCTTATTTTATTTTTAGCGTTTCATTTAAAATTATATAAAACTCTTATTTTTTTTTTTARCTTGATCTTGAAATCGTAAACATTTAATTTTTAAATATAAAATGATATACCTAATTTTTAAATACAATTTGAACGTATGTCAAAAATAGTACCTATTACATTATATGCAGTTAATTTTTATCATAATTTATTTTCATATTTCATTTTAGATGTAAGTTTTTATAAATTTAAAATTATAATATTTTAATCTTAGTTTGTTGAACATCCAATTTTCTAATATAATTTATATAATTGTTCTATATGTAAGTGTTTTTTACAGATCACCTAAAATTATTTTTTATAAATTGTTGCAATAAGCCATTTATGTCATTTCTATATCAACTATAATGTGTATATTATTAATATTAATATTTATATTATATTATCAATATAATGTATTATTCAAGCCATTCTGATTTCAGAGTATTAAAAATATAATTTATTGCTCCTCTTAGCGTGTCAAAACGATGTCTATGAGTTAAAAACTAAAAGCGTTCACAGCTTCACGGTTATTTTCCCAAACGATATTTATAGATCATTCGATACGGTCAACGAAAAAAAAAGTAATAGACATTTATTGGTCCTTGTCGAGAAGCACCCACGTAACCTTGTCGGTATCACCAGTGCGGTGTAAACACTGACATATTATTTTATACTCAAAGGTCAACCTTAATTTTCGCCCCTATATTATAGTCTGGTGCACGCATACGCACGTATGGATATATATGAGCGTGTGTATGTGTTTTTTTGTGGTCGTTTGATTTACGATCCTCATACCTGCTGTCCAAACCAGATAAAAAGTCGGTGGGCACGTGAGAAGAAGAAAAAGTAACACAACAGTTAAAAAAAAAAACATTACGTTGGGATATTAAAACGTCGAATTGAATTTCCATACAACCGTCGTGTAGCGCCCAATAATATTCTTCTACTCTTATCTGACAGAAAATATCGCGTTTATATCATAAAATATGGCTTTAAACCGACCAAAACGATCTACCGGTGGCGGTGAGCAAGTGTTTATTTTATTGACCGCCACTTAACGGGACCGAAGCTGGTCGCTCTCTGCACCCACTTAAGAAGAAGAAGACGAGGTCCATACGATGCACGTCGACGGAGGCGTCTGCCGGCTATAATATACACACACGTTGTATAATATTATTGTCGAATTAATTAACTTGAATACTGCGTGTGTGTGAGAGTGTGTGATCGACAGTGATACGCATATTATTTTTATATTATAATGTATTGTGTACAAATGCCACCAGCACATCGTGTTCTCATAACACAGCTGATAGGTACTACAGAGTACGAAGCAAAAAATAATAGYTGTAAACTTWTAAGTGAGAATAGTGAAAATAACTCACACTTAAGTAGGTACAATGAAAACTTTGTTCATACGAACAACATTTTATTCTCAACGTGGGGAAAGTAATTAACAATACATTTAATATCATTGATTAAATATATTTACTGATACTATAATATTATGCTATATTAGTTAATGTTAATCTGTAGATATTAACATTATTAACTATTATGTTTGCGATAATAATATGAAAAATACTATTGTTTTTTATGGTTTGTGAACGAAATTATAATTCTTAGTAGGTGAAACGTACAAACCTTTTGCTTTTGACATATTTTAATTAACCAATTAATCTTAGTATAACATTTTTAATCGTATAATGACTTCCTAATTTATTATGATAACAGATATTAGTAAATTTATTAAATGTATTAATTTTAATTAGTTACTTTTCAAGATTAAAATTCTACAATAGGATTTCTAATTAACTACTAAATTACGCTAATTAAATAAATCATAAGATGAGAATTAATTAGAATATTCAAACAGAATTGAAAAATGGAATTATATACTCATGTCTGACTCATATAATATTATTATTACACCACTACGGGCTCTATAATATTTAATATTTATATTGTTCATATAGGTACCTACGTATATTGATAAATTATATAGGTGCTAATTCAGAAGAACACATATTGACGATTCGTATAATAGGCATACTTTTTACATTTTATAATGTTGTCTACTCCGTACAAATTTATTGTTCAGCAGTTCTATTATTATACAGTACCTAAGCTTAGGAGTGAATTGGCCTATTATGATATGTATATAGAAACGAAATAGTTATAACTTTATTTATGTTTTCTTATAGATTTTAATTATTAAATGAGACGAGAATTTTTATTAAGACTATATTTAGTATCTATAAAGTGGAAGAAAAAAAAGTTGATAATATATTACATATTTGTCTAACTAGGTTTATAGTCGTAAAAATATCAATAATTTGTACTTAAACATTATATTATTCAACTATATATGAATAAATGTATATTATTAATATCTAGTTACCTATATTTATAATATTATAATATTACAATCTTTTAATCTATATAAATAAAATTATATTTAGTGTTAATATTATCATACTCGKTGCCTTAATATTCTTACAAAATGAAACCAAAGAATATTTATCAACTAACTCAAAAGTCATAACATATTAATTTTTCACATAACACATTTAAATATTAAAACTAATTTTGCATGAAAAAAATAAGCATCAATATTTTGTCATGATTCAATATCTACAAATATTGAAATATAATAAATTTATTAACTTATTTTATTTTATTGCAAAATCAATTCCCATTGTTAACTGAAAAAACGTGTTACGTATTTACACTGAATTACTGTAGTTGAAATCCAATAAAGTTTTTTTTTTTTAATGAATACTTCATTACCTACGTGTCTTGTAGATTAAAGCTATTCTATTATAGGTTATATTATCGTGAATTAACTGAGGCGAATTTATAGTTGCTTAATGTTATTTATTTTCATTTAAACATAAATTCAATAATCTATTATCAAGGCATAACATTTTCAAAAAAATTTAAAAATTTGTTCTAATATTCAAGTAACGAATAAAGATAATAATTTGTACTGGTTTTTATACTTAATAAACTATAAATTTTAATTTCGATGATTTTTAAATTTTCAACAGTTACAAACACAGACGACTTTTGAAAAATTTCGGATTACCGAGAATTTGAATTGCCGAGTGGCTTAAAATATCAAAACAGCAAGTAAATAATTCAAATTACTGAGTTATAAAAATAATTCTGTA